TACTTTATCTTCATGACATTTCACATACTTCCACTGTCTCCACCCTGTCCATGCCCAGGCAAACATCATTTTACAATGAGTATATGCAATAAGGGCTGACCCTCAATTCACAAGAAACTTATATCCTTCAAGAAATGGTCAAGCCTTTGCTAAATCTCAAAGTCAAATGCTGGTGTTTTTCTGTTCTAAGATATAATAGGTATTCAGTATTAATTGATGGTTCAAATTTTTTAAACACATAAAGTAAGCCATTTCTTCCTCATAAGAAACAGTATACATCACCACTACATTTTAATGTTTAATGAAATTAACCCAAAGGACTGGAGACCATAGAATTACATATGTCAACACCAAAACAACATAATTGATCTCTCTCCTGTATATCTTTACATACTTTTGCACTTATTTGTTTACATGTTTCTGCTTCATCTTACCTAACTGCAACTTCTTGAGGACAGGATAACACAGCTACAGGGCCTAATACTACGATGCCTGGCACATAGGACGCATTTGACAAATGAGCAAAGAATAAATTAACAGCTTCCACAGAACCAGAAAAACTGCATCTTCTCCTGTGTATTCCCCCAAGTAATGCTCTGTTGGACAGATATTTACTAATGCCTAAAAATCAGCTGTTTTTTGTTTTTTATTTTAGAGACAGGGTCGCTCACTCTTGTCATCTGGGCTGGAGTGAAGTGGCATGATCATAGTTCACCGCAGCCTCAACCTCCCAGGCTCAGATGATCCTCCCACCTCGGTCTCCTGGGTAGCTGGGACTATAAGGGCATGCCACTATGGCCAGCTAAGTTTTTGTATTTTTAGTAGAGACAGGGTTTCACCATGTTGCCCAGGCTAGTCTCGAACTCCTGGGCTCAAGTGATCCACCAACCTCAGCTTTCCAAAGTGCTGGGATTATAGGTGTAAGCCACCATGCCCAGCCTAAAATTCAGTTTTAAAATCCAGTTGTGATTTTAAAAAGTATCAGAAATCAGCCGGGTATGGTGGCTCATGCCTGTAATCCCAGCACTTTGGGAGGCCGAGGCGGGCGGATCACAAGGTCAAGAGAGAGAGACCATCCTGGCCAACATGGTGAAATCCCATCTCTACTAAAAATACAAAAATTAGCTGGATATGGTGGCGCATGCCTGTATTCACAGCTACTCAGGAGGCTGAGGCAGGAGAATCGCTTGAACCAGGAAGTTGGAGGTTGCAATGAGCTGAGATCAGGCCACTGCACTCCAGCCTGGTGACAGAATGAGACTCCGTCCCAAAAAAAGAAAAAAAAAATCGGAAATCTAGTAATGACATAGTCATGTTGATTTTTCAAACTGTGATTCAAGTTTCAGTCAAAACAGCTGCTAACTATTCACAGTCTACAGAGGTAGTCAGATTCTAGCCAAACTGAATTGAGACTGTTCTAACAAGGAGCTCCCAACAACCTCGGAATCCTAGACAAGGTGTCTGAAAGTCACAATGATACTGACTTCAAACTAGAACCAGACTATCTGTAATCATGTACTCCATTCACTATAGTTTCCTGTAACATTTCCAAGTTGTTACATATTTTTCAGTGATATATCCCAGTAAGTTCCAGACTACATTTATAAAAAGACCACATAAACAATCTCAGGTATTATGAACAGCATTTGCCACTATAATTACTAAATCTGGAAATGAATTCTGGTGTGACCAAGAAAAAACAACCAGTCAATCCCAATTTTTTATAATCACATTATGTATCAAAGCCAAAAAAAAAATCCTATTATTTACAGAGATAAATAGTTTCCACTAGAAATTTACTGGGGCTAACAGACAATATAAAATCTGACCTGTTTTTATTAACCCAAGTTGTCAAACAGGCTTCAATCTTGGGCTTAGAACAGCTCAAGAAAACATGACTCTTATTTAACCAAAGAACCTGAAGGGCAGAGACTCAAATAAGTTTTAGTCATCTCTTCACAAGGCTAGAGTTTAACCAGTATAACTAAAATACTAAGCCTATGTTTCTCTCTTACCAATCCTTTGAGCTTATTTAGAACTACAGCAACTAAAAACAAGCTAATTAAACTGGGAATTTGAATTTTCATCACCAAAATGGAAACTAGTATTTAAGAGAAAGACTGTGTGTGAGTGTATCTGTGTATATACATCCTCACTGAGCTCCATACAAAGCAAATTAAAGAGCCAGGTGTCAAGGAGAATTCAACATTAGCTCTAATAGCGTATCAAGGTCATCCACTCTCCCTCACAAATAATATGGGGAGGACAGTACAGGGAAAGTTAAGAAAGCCAACACAGTGGTTCTTAAACTATCTTGTCTAATATACTACAGCCACCAGGCAAGTTAATTCCTCTTGCTGTCTGTTTCTTCATGTAAAACTGACATGGGGACAACTGACATGGGAACAAATGAGGGACAAATGAGAAGATGAGGGACAAATGAGAAGGTCCTGAGGTCCTGGCCCTTTTTCCTTTGGAGCTCTAAACCCAGCCTATATACAGTAGTTTCTTTCCTCCCCATCACTGGGGAGGAAATATACTCACACACTTATAAACGTTTTGAAAATGTCTCGAAATGTGAACAGGTTCACATCTATTTTCATGTTAAATAATGATATGTAGTCAACACATGTGAGCACTCTAGTGTAGTAGTCAAGAAAGTAGGAAGTGGATGTTCTACATACCCTTAAGTATTTCACACTCTCCTTTGGGACTAACAACTGACAAGAAAGAAGACTTGTAAGAAAGACTGTCACAATAGAGGCTCATAAATCAATTTGAAGATTTATTCCAACTCTATAATACAAGATAAATGTTTGAATCCTGGGGAAGACAAGAATTCTGTGTCTCATCTATAAACAAATTCAACAAATATTTCTTGAATTATATATAAATACGAGGCCTTATTGGGTTTCTTTTATGCCCACCCTCACAGCAGACCTTCCCCAGAAGAGCACGCACTTCTGAAGGAAAATACGGAAAGGCAACAGTAAGCCCAGCAAATGAACAAACCCTTCTCATACTGTATGAGAGACAGGACGAACCAGAACAAGGCAATTCATTCAAAGCCAGAGTGTAGAGATGGATCACAAAACAATACCTGGCGAAAGTGACACAGCATACAGTTAACCTCCTACAAAAATGACTTGACCTTGCTATAGGGCAAGGCAAACATTAAGACTCCCTGTTCACGTGGGGCACTTCACAGAAGCAATGGAAGGCTTTGCAAAGGATCCTCTCACTTAAGTTTACTCTTTTATTATTATTTAGGCCAATGCCAAATATTTTGCAAAACTTGTGACAACAGTATCACCTGTCTGGCTAGGAGATGTAAAGAACGTTTAAAATGTTATTTATTAGCCTAGTCCAGTAGTCATTTGCTAAATTACCGAAAAGGATATGGAATATAATTCAACTCCAATGCTACATGCGGAAGACATTAAAAGCTTTTCTTAGATTACATCTTCACAGCAGAAATTGCAAATACTGACAAAAAGGAAATGATTTCATAGAAATTCTTTTGTGTAGCAAACGTTTCTTTCAAAACTTACATAATTTCAGGGATACTGCAAGATAAAAATAATGGACGTAAAACACTGCAACAGGATTTTTCAAAAAGTAGGATGTGAATTCTAACTGGCAGCATCCGACCAACTCCTGACCCCCAGCAATCTGCACGCAGCACGCATTTGTCAACCGCGCGCTTGATCACAGATTCCCGTGTAATCGCCTCCGAGCCGAGCCCCGCACGCCCTCCCCCCTGCGCTGTGGCGCGCACAGGGCTGGAGAGCAAGCCCCGGGAACTCTCACAGGCCGGCCTGTGTGAGCAAAGGGAAGGAAATGACACAGGCAGGAAAAAAAAGCAAATCAAGGAAAAGACACAACAGCAGCTGGGCCTGCTGCAGCCTCCAGCCCGGGCCCCACACTGCGCTCTCGCTCCCCCGCCCTCGGGCTGGCGGTCCGGCTCGCTCGGGCCAGGCTGCCCCGCTGAGCACAGGACCTAGGTCCCGCCGCCGCTTCCCAGAGATGCGCCGGCCGCGCTGCCCGGAAGGAGGGCTGCCGAGCGGGCTCTGCCGGCCAGATCACCCCGGCGGGCCCGAGGAGCCAGAACCCCCGCCCCGGCCACGGCGCGCTACAGTGGCGGGCGGGCGGCCGGCGGTCCGCAGCCCCTGGCCGGGAGGGCTGTCCATGCCTGTCAGGCGGCGGCCCAGGGTCCTCCTCCCTCAGCCCGGGGCGGGGCGTCGCGAAGCAGCGCGGGCACAGGCCGGGGCGGTGGCGACACTTACCCATGGTGGCGATGGCGGCGGCGGCGTCTCGGGCCCGTGAATGTCACCTCCGCAGCCGGGGCTGCATGCCGGGGTCCCGGGCGGCGGGGACGGCAGCGGGCCTGGCTCCGCGCGGGGGGCGCGGGCTGCGCTCGGGGCCCCCGCCGCCTCCCCAGGCTCCGGCTCCGGCTCCGCCCGCGGCCGGGCGCTGTGGCATGGGCAGGGTGGCCCGCTACATCCCGGGCGTTCCGGGGTAGGCCCAACCCAGCCTCGGCAGTGCCGCTCCGCCCGCCCGCCAGTCCCTCAGACCCACAGTTGCTCCGTCCGGCCACCGTTCTCCACCTCAGGAACGCTCCGAAAAACAAACCGCTGGTCGCGCAGCTCGCCCCCCTGTCTGTCACTCACGCCAGCGGTCACCAATCCCAAGCAGCTCCTGGGCCGTCGCACCACCTCCACCCCCTCACTAGCCAATAACAAGAAGGAAGTTGGCCGCCCCCGCCGTCCCCCAGCTCTCTCCCAACACCCTAACTCTCAGCCGCCAGCTAATCATCAGCACCACACGATGAACCAATCCCGCCTACTCTCGCAGGATGCCAATGGGCGAAGCCTAGGCGGTTTCCGAGGGCTGTCTAGGGCCTGCCAATCATCGGGACAGCGCCCGGCTCCCTGCGCTGCTAGCCAATCACATAGAGGCCTCTGAGTCCCCGCCTCTGCGCATCCCTCTCTGGCGCTGTCTCCCAGTCTTGGGAGAGATTGGGCGGTGTTGGTTGCTCCAATCACAGCTCCGGTGCAAGGCTCCTCCCACATTCCCACCTCCAGTCGCAGAAAGCTCGGCGGACCAGCGGGCTGGCGCAGTTCCCCCCTGGCTACTTTGGGGCCGAGGTGAGGAGTAGGCGGCTGGAGGGGGCCCTCGGGCTTTCCGCCTCCGGGGTTTTCGGCGGCCCCGGCGATCTGCGTGGTTCCACAGGCTGGCGTCCTGCTCCTGCCTGTGCCCTGCACGGGACGCGTAACGAGCGGGGACGGTCTGGCCTGAGCGCGGCCAGGGTCTTCCCGGCGCGCGGCCACCTCTGCGGCCCCATCCCGCAGCTGGTCCTCGGGTCCTGACGTTGCTCTTGCCCCTGGTAGGGGCGGCCGCGCCCAGCCCCGCTTTCCCTGAGTCTCACACCTCCAAGGCCACACCCTCCGGTCTAGGTTCCTCAGGCCACCGAGGCTGGGTAGTGCTGGCATGTGGGTCCCTGGAAATCTGTAACTTCCGCCAGAGGTTCTTTCAGAAAATAACTTTTTTCTTATAAAGGCAACACAAGCTTTTTTGTAGGAAAATTGAAAAATGCAGAAAAGTATGGAAAAGAAAATAAAGAACCCACTCTATTTCCTACCTAGATAGGCATTTGACAGAAATGCCTTTATATTGTTTTGTCGTATGCTTACATTTTATGCTGAGTGCTTTCCCGTGCCATCAAATATCATTCCAAAACAACTGTACTGATTGCATGATGTTTCAGAATTAAGAGGGACCATAATTAATTTCCCCAACCTTCTCATTGTTCAACATTTTATACACCCAGATCTTCAGATTCCAAGGCCACCACAGTTAATGTAGGCTCCTTTCTCTGGTCTCTGTTCATTGTAGTATGTCAGGCTCCAGAATAATCTTCCTCAGATGCCATTGTCCACTGTCCACTAAGAACATTTAGTGGTGACTTTGCTTTGAGTGTCAAATCCCATAAGAATTACCTTGAGCTCTCCCCAGTTTCTTTTCTTTTCCTTTTTTATTTTTTGAAATGGAGTTTAGCACTGTCATCCAGTCTGCCTCCCATGTTCAAGCAATTCTCCTGCCTCAGCCTTTCAAGTAGCTGGAAATACAGGCGCACGCCACCACACCCAGCTAATTTTTGTGTTTTTAGTAGAGACAGGGTTTCATCATGTTGACCAGGCTGGTCTCAAGAGCTCCAGACTTCAGGTGATCCACCCACCTCAGCCTCCCAAAGTGCTGGGATTACAGGCATCATCCTCCACATCCGACCTCCCCTATTTCTTTACACTCACCTCTATGTTTAATCAGCCCCCTTGTCCTGTTTTCTTTTTCTTCCAACAAGCTTAAGCCTCCCATACTCCCACTTGACTCGGTCTCTACCCAGTTTATTGGAGTTCCTTAACTATAATAATCTCTATTCTTGAAAGGAGGAGTAAAGGGGAAAGAAAATTAATATTTATCAATATAACAGACATGTCATTGCATTTAATTTTTCCAAGTACTTTAGGTTATTAGGCTAATACTGTGGGCATTTAAACGATGAAAGTGAAGCTCAGAGAGATTAAGTACTGTGTCCAAGTAGTGGAGCCAGGATTCATACCAAGCATGTGTGACTCCCAGAGGCTATGTTCTTGCACTAGGCCAGTGTTTCTCAACCTTTTTTTCATGATCTACCCCTGCCAGGAAAAAAGTTTAATTAAGTTACTTAAATTTAAATTCTCCCTAGGAAGAGAAATTAAATACTAAGGGATAAGATTTTGTCAGATAGAGTTGAGCCTTTAAAAAAAAAAATCTTTCTTTAAGGCTGGGCGTGGTGGCTCACGTCTGTAATCCCAACACTTTGGGGGGCTAAGGCAGGCGGATCATGGCATCTTGTCCCTCTATCACTGTCCTTCAGCTACTCTGGCCTTCTTTCTATTCTTTGAACCTACCAAGCTTTTTCACCCGAGGGCCTTTGCATTTGCCATTTGTTCTGCCTGGAATGCTCTTCCCCAAGATGTTCTCATTTCTGCAATTCATTCAGGTCTCTGCTCAAACTTCTGCTTTTAAGTCATTTCTAATTATCCCATCTAAAATGGCCCCTCCCTTCCATCATTCTGTTTGTTTTTTTTTTTGAGATGGAGTCTTGCTCCATCACCTAGGCTGGAGTGCTGTGGCCTGATCTTAGCTCACTGCAACCTCCACCTCCTGGGTTCAAACGTTTCTCCTGCCTCAGCCTCCCAAGTAGCTGCGACTACAGGTGCCTGCCACCACACCCGGCTAATTTTTGTATTTTTAGTAGAGATAAGGTTTCACCCTGTTGGTTAGGCTGGTCTCAAACTCCTGACCTCAGGCAATCCGCCCACCTCGACCTCCTAAATTGGTGGAATTACAGGCATGAGCACCTGGCCCCTTCCATCATTCTGTATTTGTGTATTTCTCCCTTTTTTTCTCAGTGGCTAAAATTATATACTTATTTGTTTCCAAGTACCACAAACATAAAGTATGCAGGAGCAGGAATTTTGTTCAGCTTACTGCTCTATCACCAGCACTTAGAATAGTGCCTCATACGTAGAGAACTGTAGTAAATCTACCTGAGTCTTTAGCTGTAAAGAACCTTCTGATTTACCTTCTACCTTTTTTACAACTGCCTTCTTTGTGGCTTCATTTGCATTGTCTGTGTCTCAACCAACCATCTCAAACATTCCCACACTGCAGTTACCATATGTGCCGAGGATTCCAGAATCTCAGCTGTATCTCTAGCTTAAAGAGGTCTTTCTTCTGAGCTCCACAAACATGGGTGTCCTACAGGAACCTTGAATTCTGGGTCCAAACTGAAATTATTTTCCCCCATAGTTCTATTTTCCTCTGTCCATCTCCAGCTCCCCAAGTTAGATACCTTCGAATGATCAGAGAGCTCTTTCTCTCCATGTCCTTTCCCCTACAGCCAATCTGAAAGAAGTCTCCAATCTGTCCATTCCTCTCCCATCCCCTTTCACTACCTTAGTTCAAACCACCAAAATCTCTTACCTGCATTACTTAAGCATAACAGCCTCTCAACATATATTCACATCACAGAGTGATCTTTCTGAAATGGACACCTGATTCTGCCATACCCTCCCTAAAAGCTTTACATTTCCCATCACCCTTAGGATAAGTCAAATATGTGAATGTACTTAAGAAGGTCCTTCTTAAGTACACATTCCTTCTTCCCCAGCCACAAGTCCTTCCATTTCCCACCTTAACAATAATAGTTAACCCCATTATTCAAATTCTATGCTCAAGCACATGGAACCATGAGCAATTCCTGAAATATGACTTTCTCTTGCTTCTATACCTCTGCATGTGTATGTTCTCTGTATGAAATCCTCTTCACTTCTGCTCCCGCCTCCATTCTTTCAGGGAAGAACTAAGCCTAAACAGCATTCCCTCCAAGAAGCCTTCCCAGAGAGATACCTCCAAGTCCAGGTAAAGACCCTCAGACATGCTCTCAGAGCACTCAGTATTTTCTTCATCAAAGCACGTGTCCTGCTCTCTAATAATTGTCTTTAACCAAATATGCATAAAGAGACCAGGTGTGGTGACTCATGCCTATAATCCTTACATTTTGGGAGGCTAAGGAGGGAGGATTGCTTGAAGCCAGGAGTTCAAGACCAGTCTGCACAACGTAGTTAGATCCTGTCTCTCCAAAAAGAAATTAAAAATTATCCAGGTGTGGTGTTGTGTGCCTGTAGTCCAGGCTACTTAAGCAGCTGAGGTGGGAGAACTGCTTGAGCTCAGGCAGTCAAGGCTACAGTGAGCTATGATCCTGTCACTGCACTCCAGCCTAGATAGCAAGACCAGAACCTCAAACAAAACAAAACAGCCAAATTAAGCAGAAAGACAGAAGCTGCTTTCAAATGAACATGCCTGTCATCTTTCATAGCATATTACAAAACAAATAATTGTCAAATGAGTAAGTGAACCTCAGATGGAGATGTTAGTAATTGAATGTAATTTCCATAATGTTCCCTTTTAGGTATATGCAGTATTTTAT